GAGCATAATAGTATTTGGGTCATTGTGGACAGACTGACTAAAGCAGCCCATTTCTTATCGGTCCGCACGACTTATAACTTGGATAGACTTGCCCATTTGTACATTAAAGAGATTGTGAGGTTACATGGAACACTTGTCAGTATCGTATCTGACAGGGACACCAGATTTACTTCAAGATTTTGGAACAGTCTGCAATCATCCCTAGGGACGAGACTTACTTTTAGCACTACTTTTCACCCTCAGACTGATGGACAATCAGAAAGAACAATTCAAACTCTGGAAGGCATGTTGAGAGCTTGTATTACTGACTTCAAAGGAAGCTGGGAGGATCATCTGCCTCGGATCGAATTTACTTATAATAACAGCTTCCAATCCAATATTCAGATGGGGCCTTTTGAAGCTTTGTATGGGAGGAAATGTAGATCCCCTATCTGTTGGGATGAGATAGGTTAGAGCAGGTTGTTAGGGTCAGAAATTGTTCAAGTTACCTCAGAAAAAATGGCCTTGATTCAGGAAAGACTTAAGATCGCTCAGAGTCGGCAAAAGAGTTACGCCGACAATCGAAGAAGAGACATCGAGTTTGAAGTAAATGATCGAGTTTTCTTGAAGTTATCGCCGATTAAGGGCGTTTTGAGATTTGGCAAGAAGGGAAAGTTGAGTCCATGGTTTATTAGGCCTTTTGAAATTTTGGAGAGGGTTGGAAGTATGGCTTATCGGCTTGCCTTGCTACCCGAGTTGGCACATATTCATGATGTGTTTCATGTATCTTTGTTAAGAAGGTATCAGCCGGACCCATCCCATGTTTTGAAATATGAGCCAATTCCAATCAGGGAAGACTTAACGTATGTTGAGCAGCCAATTAAGATTCTGGATAGGAGAGTGCCGATACTATGCAATAAAGAAATTCCTCTTGTCCGTGTTTTGTGGCAATACCATTCCCGGGATGAGTCAACCTGGGAACAGGAGAATTATATTCGGGATAAGTTCCCCCATTTATTCGATTAATGGAATTATGATTTTGGAGACAAAATCGTCTAAAGGAGGGGATGATGTTAGGGCCTGAACTTTTCGGGCGTATTGCTTTTCACAAGCGAGTAGACGGCACAGAAGAAATGCATCGCGTGGAAAACCGTACGTGATGTGTTACCACCATGCACAATTAAATCGGGTAGTCCAAGGGCCTACCTCTTTTCCTTCTTTTTCCTCTCCCTTGTTCACCACGTGGCCCCTCCCCCCCCCCTCCTCCTCCTCGCTC